AAGCTCTATGGACCCATATGCATTAACTGATCAACTCTATGGGACCAAGTTGTACGCAAGCAATTATCAAAAACGGACAAATCAATTATGATTTAGAGGTGCACAATCGGACAGATTTGCACTATTGACTCGTACCCCGTCTCAGAGGAGTGGGGGATCCCATATTGAAAGTCGTTTACCCTGCAATCTCGAGGAATACCACAAGAAGACAATGCACCAATTCACAAGTGTGAACTCGTGAAAGAGCTCAAGTATGAACCCGAAAGTGCGTCCATAGAGTGGTTACCACAATCATCGGATCTTAATTAAATAAAATGTATGGAGGGAGGCTCATAGGAACCAAAAGCCCTGTACCGAATCTGAGGCCGTCACCGCAGCATGAAATTTATTTTTACAATGTCTGATCGTGCGAAAGTTGGAATTCCGTTATCACGGTGTGTAGGATTATTATTTTGTTCACTTTTGCATCGAGCGGAACCAAGTACCAAGGTTATCTTTGGAGTTCAGACTATCAATACGGTATTTCCGTTTAGGGGCATATAAAGGTGACCACGTCTCATATGAAACCAAGCTGGTATGCACATGCGCATGTGTGTCCGCCTCTTTGACGCAAGGAATGAAAATAACGCCCAAATGGTTGCTCTCTTGTTGATGCACAGGAATCCAACTTGATCTGCGGGTTACATTCACACGTTTTGATAATCTCCCCTTGCCTTTGGAAGATACCTGAAAGATAAATCTTTTTATAAAGTAAATGACTATGAGATGATCAAGTTCTACGTAATAAAATGTCTCGGGAGGTGGCTTGTACTTTGTAAATCAAAGTGTGGCATATTCGCTCACGTACGATAATAGGGGTCAGAAAAAACCTGAATTTAGAAATTCACGGCATTTGCTCCTTCATCATACGTGTAGTTGTTCTTGTGTCGGCTGTGCGGTTGTGGAAATCGTAAATTTAAACTCGGATTTATTGCCATGATGCGTACTCGCCAGAAGAATTTCACAAGAAAAAAAAAGTTGATGAGCTAGCATTATTTTTTTTTGCAAGTTTAAATACCCCCCAAAAAAAGAAAAAAAAAAAATGGAGGATACCTCACATCCTAAAAATTCGTGCATACCAATTGATTTCCCGCTTCCACTTGATGGACCTAGTAGCGAGAATGACAAAATTCAACTTTTTCGCTTTATCGGATCAATTCCGAGATGGGAGGGTTACGTTCTATTATTTATTGTGGTCAGTAACATTGAATATAAAAGAGCCGACGCGAATCTTGAGCTGTTCTTAGACGAATGGAATAACATTCGACAGGAAGTTCAATCCTTGTACGGGGGAGGGGGTGCAAGCCCATTCCAATATGCGCACTGCGTTAAAATCATGGAAAGCTACAAGGCGTATCGAGAGGATGATAAGGTCGATGAGATTGGCCTGCTAATCGAAAGTATGTCCAACGATCTTAAATACCATTCAATAACGAGTCTACCAAATCTAATTGATCACCTAAAGAATCTCACCTCTTTCCAAAGACAATTGTTACGCTCGATGTGCATATCGAGAGTGAGATCATTTTCCGAATATGCAATCTACGTTTCCCGCTGGAAAGACAAGTCGAACGCAGAGAAGATTGCCCATTACGAGAAACAGGAGAAGGAGAAGATTGAAATCCTCGAATTCAAGAATCAACAACAGATCGATGAAATTGAGGCGCTCCGGGCGGATAAGGAGGAACAGGGGAGAAAACTCGACAGCCTGGAATCCGAAAATAAAGAACTCACAAATGAAATCAAAACCCTTAAGGCAAATAAAGAAAAGGCTGAGCAAGCGCTTAAAGAGAAAATTGAGTTGGAGAAAAAGATACTCGAATGCATTAGCGCAAAGGATCGCGATGCGATAAAAAAACACAATACCTTTCAATCAGAGAGGCCACACAATAAAAAGTTCAATGGGAAACAAGAAGTCGCGAGCGCCTTCCACAAGGAAGGTGAAAGGTTGAAGCTCGAAGTGGCAAAGTGTCATGCGGTATGGGGTTGTGTCGCGAATTTGGAATGGTGTGACGAAGATCCTACCAACCCGGCGCAACTGACCAGAGAGATCGAGAAACTCCAACGAGACCTGGCAAACCTCACAATGATCAAGGGCAAGGAGGTGAAAATTCACCAAGATGCGGTTTCCGAACTCTTTGAACGTTACAAGTGCAAAACGTCGACCAGCGATAAGACGATGAAGTGTGTATTGAGTGCAGTTTTACAGCGACATACGCTGGAGCTCATCATTCAACACTCGGAGAAATATCTCAATTGTTCGAATGGTTTGAACGGCATTATGGACATACCGGAAGAAAGACTTGAGCTCGGTGTGAAATCACGCGTGAACGATTTGTGCAATTTGATGAAAAGATTCTGCGAGTCCACAAGTGGTGGAGACGAACTCTCGCGTGTCCCACCAATAAGACTACGTCAGCAAGTCTATGCGATACTAAGCAACAGGGTTTTCGCCAGTCAAAATCATCCGTTCATTCAAGAGATCGTCAGAGATCTGTTAACATCCATGGACAAATTTAGAACAATTGAATCGAAGGAAAGAAAGGAAAAATTTAATTCCAAAGCAGCCTCCCTGGTTCAACAAGTTATAAATATTTTTTGTTTTAGATTAAATACACAGGAGCCGGTACCTGCGTTTAAATTTTATGAGAGCGGTAGGCAAATAGACGCAAGGGTGATGGAGGGAGTTTGGAATGGTAGCCCTGAAAATTTTGAAATAGAAGTCTGCGCGTTTCCTGTGGTGACGGTTATGAAGGAGGACGGTGACGAGAGGATACTCACCAAAGCTCGGGTTTTAGTCCGATAAAAATGACAATTTTCAAATTCTTGGAATTGCCCGGTGTTTTCGAATTAATTTAACCAATATACAGCACATACTGTATATATATATATTTTTTTTTCTTCTATGTAATTTTTTTGAGTTCAATTATTTATGAAAGTATATAGTACATCCAGACGTAGAGTATTTGAAAAAATTTCATGTTACTTGGTGATTATACGTGCATCACCACTTCCAAGTGAATTAGTGATGAAATTAAAATAGAAAATGTTTCAAGAATCGAATGATCGTTGTGTTGAACATTCTTTCTTTGATTAATTAAGTAAGTTTTAAAAATTAAGAAGGGACTACCAATAAAACTCCCACTGGAAAAAAAAGCTTTAAGAGATCAACATAATCCCTGCCGCCAAAAAACTCGTCACCAACACTTTTACATTATTCCATTTATCACCTTGCAAAATCGATGCTTCCGAACTAACTTGATCAGATACATCAACTTTTGCACTTTCGCCTGCCGCTGTTGACGTAGAGGAGGAGGTCGTTTGTGACACGGAGGAGGACGGCGACGGCAAGGAGGAGTTATTTTCTTGAATGTAGATTGGTTTGTCCAAGGTGAACACGTGGAATAGGACCGGTTCGTTTTCAAGAAATGCTACACCTTTGAACGTGAACTGGTTAGTTATAGAGGGACGAGATTCTTTATCATGATGGTTGTGTTCTTTCTTGCCCTTGTGACAAGGTTCTTTATGATGATGGTAATGCTTTTTGCTACTCTTGGGATGGGTTTCCTTGTGGTGGTGGTGGTCGTGTTCTTTCTTGACCTTGTGACGTGATTCTTTGTGATGATGATGGTGATGCTTTTTAGGATGTGAGTCCTTATGATGATCGTTGTGTTCTTTCTTGCCCTCATGACAAGGTTCTTCGTGATGATGATGATGATGATGATGGTGATGCATTTTAGGATGCGAGTCCTTATGATGATGGCTGTGTCCTTTCTTGCCCTCATGACAAGGTTCTTCGTGGTGATGGTGATGATGGTGATGCTTGGAAAAATTTTTTTGATGTGGCTCTTCCTCAAGTGTAAGGTTGACTTTTGTTCCGTGTGGTGGGTCCCACCTGTATACAATCTGTGAGACTGGAATTTGAGAGTATAAGATTTTAGATTTTGTTGTCTAATGCGAAATGCAAAGTCCCTCCTCCTGCGTGCTTGCAAACACCTACCGTTGGTAAAATCTTCATAATTGGTGATCGTTGAATTGGGTAGTCCACTACACCCTTCGGTGTAAGCATGTCCAACGATTGGCCGGAACACACCAATATGTTCTTCCTGAGAATTGTTCCTGAACTCTGCCCACAGTATGATGTCTTTGATTTTTTTATCGGATGAAACTTTGATGTCGAGACTACCGTCGGGGTTGATTGTTACGATATTTATGGAGATGTCGGCATATGAGACATTTTGTGGAAGAAGGGCATCTATGCCGTGGGGGCCATCTTTTGGTTTGAAGGATTAATAGAAAAAATTTCTTTGAATTATTGATTGGCTCATTTCTCAAACTAACGAACTACTTGATCACAAATTTCTCTGGATATGATCCAATCACCATTCTAACTTATTATCCACTCGAAACTTTTTTTTTTTTTTTTTTTGGAAATTTCCTTACCACTCGTGCAGATGTTATAAACCAATCCGTCAATATTCGCGATCATCCAACCGCCAGAGATAATGGCTGTCAACGCTATTACCACGAACGTATTCCAATATTTCATAGTTTCAAATTCCTATGGTTTTTACTATAGCATTCCGTTCTCTACACAATATGACGATGAATTTCTCTTCTCCTCTTAGAGTTCAACCAACGCCGGATTATGGTTTAACGAGTGTAAAAGAAATAATAAAAGAGAATGGAGGGGAAGTGCAAAAGTCGCAATTGAAACGATGCGGGGCTTTAATACGGATCAAGCGTGGTATAAAAAAAGGAAAAGAAAAATAGGACTAGGCAAAAAAGGAAGATGGTCATTTCTCATTTACTGTATTGTTGTTAATCGCTCATTTCGTCGATTACGTGTTTGATCATCCCAGCGGCCACAAGTACAGTAAATCACGAATTTAATTAAATACGGGAATTTCGACGTGATTCCGACATTCGACATTTATGTGTGTTCTTTTAATGCTGACTACCATTACGCATAACGCATTTTTTTTTCTTCTAATGCTGACTACCATTACGCATAATGCATTTTTTTTCTTTTTTAATTAGAAAAAAAAATTTTTTTTTTCGGACACACTGTATGCAATCGAATAAGAGAACGCAGCAAAGGATTACCGGACCCCTTTAGGATCGACATAATCGCTTGATTATGTTCCGCCATCTAAAATGACGTTGATATAATGCAGAACATGACTCGCATGGCCGTTTGTTCACCTAGCAAAAACATGCCCTGTCAAATTTCAAAAATTGCAAGTTACATTTCTCGATTTCCGTAATTTCAAATATTCATTAAATTTTGATTCAGAAATTCATATGAAAAATGTATCAATTTCCAATTCTCGAGCATATGCAATTCATACTGATTATTGTCGAAATAAGTTCTCAAACACATGGCTCGTAGATTCACGTGACTAGAATATTGTTTGCATACTGTAAATTTTCTCGTCGTACCTCTGTTCCTCAAATTTATATGAGAAGTGGGTTAACCATATCACCGTTCTTGATATCCCGATTTGCAACCTGTACTCACGTGAAATTGTTTCAACCATCCCTTCGTGAATTCTCAACGAAAGGTAACTTTCGACCATGTGCTCCCGACGTCAGCGACGTTGTATGACCAATTTTGACATGATAGACGACTTTCTATTCTCAATTAAAATTTGGACGTAAGTGTTGATGGATGGCGTGGCGGTGACCATTTGATGCTACGTGTGTAGTGCGAAAATTTTATTTCTTGGCACATTCGCCCAGAAATTTCTCGATAAAGTAACATACGATATCATAAATTCTTTATATTATTAGAAATATGATATGAAGAATTTATAATTATCTTCATTAAATAATTTAGACAATCGCATTCACGATGCTAAAAAACCAATTAATTTTAATTAATCAATCATCAGGCCGGATCGGACAGAATTTCCGGTCCAGCGCGATCCCCAATTATTAAGGAATATCGTCACAAAACTTTAAAATTATTTTTTTTGCCTTATCTCTTTTTTTCTTGGTTTTATGCACGAGCATATAACTTAATAATTCGCGCGCTAATTGCTTTTGTCGAATCGAATGAAAGCCCGAATTGTGCATTCATTTATTCAATTCCTTTTTTTGCGCAATACGACTACGGTATCACCAACTCAGTTTTCATTGTGTTCACAATTGGAATCTCGTCACACTTACCGAAATTCATTCGTCGAGTTTTTTTAGCCCAAAGGTCCTTTTTTTAGAGCGTTTCACTTCGACACGGCTTTACGCCATCAGAATTTGTCAAGAGTCCTTTCTGAATTCAGCGGTGTAACACCATCAGAATTTGTCAAGAGTCCTTTCTGAATTCAGCGGTGTAACAAGATGAAAACAAGTTGTGAGTACTATTACAATCGGCTCGTGCTCCATAAAATTATTTTTTTTTTCTCCAGCCCTCTACAATCCACACGCAGACATAAGATAAAACCTTTTAGAAAGGATTATCGTGGAGTTCACGTACCGGTGCGTGCGTGCCATTTTGTCCGGAAGCGCCTACCTGTTTAGTCGAAATAAGACAAACAGTACATGAATATACCAGATTTGCTGTATGTATGTATGTACAGTATACTGTATATATACGGTATACTTTGGAAATATATACATTCTTAACTCTTCGCCATGTCCTCAACGCCTGAACAAAATTCGGACGATGATGGAGTCGATGAAAGGGTTTCACCAGTAGACAACGTCGAAAATACCTTACATTTAATTAACGCTGCTGGCGAAGCGGTTCAACCTTTCTTACCCCTTATCGCGAGTGTGACCACAGTAATCAATGAGATCGTTCATGTTTACGAGAATGCCAAGTATAACCTAAACATCTGCAATTCCCTCATGGACCGTGTCAACGCCGCAGAAGCCGCCATCAAGACCTTGAAACGAAGGAAAACCGAAAATGAAAAAAATTTTCAGAACGAAGAGTATTATAAAACATTCTTGCGTTTCATCGCGGTATTGAAAAAGATTAAAAAATTTATCAAGGATGTGTCAACACTTCAGAATTACAAGAGAATTTTCAACGCGAACACCATACGGGGAAAGTTTTGAGGGTCTTATTAACGAATTTGAAGGTACCATGAGGGATCTGCACTTTGCAATGGCCGTAACCAATGAGGACCAACGAAGGCTTGACCAACAAGGCCTCGAGTCCGATATTGCGGAAATGATGAATGTATTGCATTTATCAAGAATTTCTCAAAACAAGTTAAACCATTCATTTCGGCTAAGAATTTCTTTGCTCGCAGTTTTTAGAAAGAATTGAGGGTAACATTATTGACCAGCATAAATCAGTCAACACGGTCATTCAGGAAGTGAGGATCATCAAGGACCAGCTACAAACCTCCACGATCCCCGATAGTATCAAGAGAATGAAGTCACATGAAATACTGCCTACGGAATTACAACATCCGCCGCTTGGGAAAGCGGACGATGTCCGAGGTTCCAAGAAGCGTATTGTCGAGAGAATTTATAAACATCAAGATGTCGCCTGCAAATTCAAGACCATTCGCGATGACAACAGCTCCCAAGCTCAGCTGGCCATATTAGGAAAATTGCGAGACTCTCCGAATATTCTTAAATTTTTTGGAGTGTCCAGGGTCGATGGATTACAAGTGATGGTGTTCGAATGGGCGGGGTTCGGTTCTCTCCAAGAACTGTACGCGAAAACGAGCATTAAATTGGAGACAAAAGTTCAGATAGCTCTAGACATATGTCGCGGTCTAACCTTTCTACATTCCTGTGACATTTTACACCATGACATAAGATGTAAAAATATTCTGGCAAGTTGCTACACACGCATCATCAAGCGATCGCCGGTTTCAAATTAATTGTTTGCTTGCTTGGTATCATTGTAGATGACCAAACATCTTGAACCTAAAATTGCGAACTTTCAATTTTCTCGTCTCGATAGTGATCGTACCATTGACATGAGTGGTGTGACTGAAATTGTGAGGTGGATGGCACCTGAAAAGATGATGCACACGGTTAGGAACCAGGTGCGATATACCTTTAAATGTGAGATTTTCAGGTACTGTATGAGTTGACGACTTGATACTTTTGCCCGCCGTTTCCACTTTGCTCTCTAACCCCTCCCCCCCGGAAACGATGCTTATTCTGGTTAATCTCATAATGGGGTGCAAATATAGTTTCGGAATGTTACTGTGGGAACTTGCCTTCGAAAGAATTCCCTATGAAAACATGGGAATTGATCGAGTAAAGGAACACGTATCGAGCGGAAAAAGGGAGATTATTAATTGGAGTCATGAAAAACCCGAATCCCAAAAAATACAGAAAGGACTTGAGAAGATCATCGTGGCCGGTATGCTTTGCCCTTGAATGCTCAGCATCTTCCGTCTATCGCCGTGTTCTATTTACAGTATATTAGAATCCGATTAATTATTCAATGTTTGTAATTTAGCCTGGCAGGAAGATGTACCAATTCGAGCGTCCCTGCAAACCATCTTCCTGAAACTCCATAAACTGGCAACCAACTTGCCAATACTTCTTCCCGATGAATGTTTGGACTCGAACAGTCCCAAAAACAAATCACTATCCTCTTATTCACATGATAATTTCGAAGATACCCTGAAAACGCATCCGAATCTTCACATCCCTTCCAAATCGTTCATAAAGCCTCTTGATGTTGGCTTTAAGGCTCACAAGCAGAAGGATCGTAAGACCGCATGGGAATGTTTTGTGGCACACGCAGAATTAGGAAACATCACCGCAAAATACTGGAAAGGGTATTACTTGGCCGAGGGGTACGTTGGCGAACGGGATCTGGTGAGGGCAAATGAATTGTTCAAAGAGGCAGCCGATGATGGGGATGTAGACGCCCAATTACGTTATGCCTTCTCGCTGCTCAAAACTCCCGGAGTTCAATTCGATCACAAGATGTTCACCGAATATTTGACCAAATCTGCCGACGGAGGAAATCAAGTTGCTCAATTCAATCTAGGTGACATGTATCTGCATGGTAAATTGGGTAGTAAAATTGATGTTGAGTTGGGAAAGAAATATTTAAGACTGGCTGCCCTAAATAAAAATCAGGATGCCATCAAAATTCTTGAAAATATGGGGGTCGACATTTATAACGACCAGCCTTGAATCTTATTCGATATTGTATAATGCGTGTGGTGTGGTCTTTTTTGTATAAAATTGGGATCGTTTTTTTTTTTTTTTTAAAAAAAAAAAAATTAAATTAAAATAAAATTTGCAAGAAATCGTATAATATCTATTTTTCAATTAAGAATTAAAAATAAATAAAAGTAAAAAGTAAATAAGATTTGATTCACGATCCATTTTAATTCACCCTAAAAACATCGTCTCACAAAATTATTTCAAATATATATATATATATATATATATATATATATTTAATTAATCAATTATTTATTTTAAAAATAAATCAATAAATTTAAAATTAAAATGATACAAAAAATTTCTAAAAATTCTAGCAAAAATATAGATATATACTGCATATATACAGTACTGTATATATGATCGAATTAAATAATTTCAGGTTCAAGAAAAAAAAATTCTTTTAAATGTTTAATTAATGGGAATCTGTAAAGTAATCTAATATCAAGCTAAATATAGTTTTTAATGAATGCTATTTAAAAAAAACCAATACTAATTTGTGTTTCGTGTGATTTCAATATACGGATTTTTATAATAATTGAAATCTTCGAAAATAAGGAATGGTTTTTCGGCTTTAATACTTGGCAAGTTCATCGGAAATACTGTTGTTATGTGATATGCAGCGTGATTTTTTTGTCAAAAGAAGACATATGATGAATTTAATTTTACTTTTGTACGTAATTGTTAAATTAACTCAAGGTGTATTAAGGAGAATGTACATTTATAGAAAACACTCCCCTGAGGTCGGAATTTGAACCCGAGCATTTATGGAAAAGTGCATTTAGGGAGGTTCCTCGACATATTAATAAATATGCAAAAGGGTGTTATTTCAACCCCCAAAATCGTCAAATGACATGATTTTTTTGTCAAACTACAATACCGCTAATTTATAATTGAAATCACATGACACAGGCTCAAAGGTGCACTATGAATCAGCAATAATTGGACCATCATCATCTCATCTCATCTGGAAAAAAAATGGGCTTATAAACTGCGAACTGGATTGATTGTTTATTACCTCTTGTTTCAACGATGGCTCCCTTAATTGAAGCATCGAACGCCCAAGTAAAATACTTAACTAAACATGATGTAGAAAAATTCGTGCAAAGTGGTCAGATGTTGATAATTTACAACAAAAAAGTGTATAAGCTTAACAAATGGATAAAATACCATCCTGGTGGTGACCTTGCCATACTGCATATGATCGGGAAGGATGCAACGGACGAAATTAACGCTTTTCATCCTGAATATGTTACCAATAAAAAAATCCACAGTTTTTATGTCGGAGAGTATACTGAAAACGACGCACAACAATCACTACCAATCGAAAACGGTTTGTCGTTTGCAGAGGAGCAATCGATATCGGAATCATACAGGAAGTTGGAATCAAAAATTAAAGAACTCGGGTTATATGATTGCAATTATTGGTATTATGCCCTCGAAGCATCTAGATATGTTTTGTTGATAACTTCTGCTTGGCTATTAGTCATCTACGGCACTCAAACAATCCATTATTTTTTGAGTGCATTCTTGCTCGGAGTCTTCTGGCATCAACTTGCATTCACGGCTCACGACGCAGGACATAATGGGATCACTCACAACCTTTTGGTTGATAACCTCATTGGGATATTCATTGCGGATTTCTGCGGAGGCTTGAGCATAGCATGGTGGAAGAAGAATCATTACGTTCATCATATTGTCACGAACCATCCCGAACATGATCCCGACATTCAGCATCTACCATTTTTTGCAATTACCGCAAAACTCTTTAATAATGTTTATTCGACATTCTACAAGAGAACTTTAAAATTCGACACATTCTCTAGATTCTTCGTGTCAAAACAACATTATTTATATTATCTTATCATGTGCTTTGGCAGATTCAATCTTTATGCATTATCTATTGGATTTTTATTTAACGAAGCAAATGTTGCATTCCGTAATTTAGAGAAAGGCGGAATGGTTTTCTTCTGGTGCTGGTATACCTATATGCTTTCCTATCTCCCTTCATTTCCAATTATAATTTCCTACATTCTTATTTCACACATTATAACTATGCCTCTTCATGTGCAAATCACACTTTCTCATTTTGGCATGTCAACTGAAGAACTGGGTCCGATAGAATCATTCCCAAGAAAGATGACACGCACCACGATGGATGTTGATTGCCCCTGGTGGATGGATTGGTTCCATGGAGGATTACAATATCAAACAATTCATCATCTATTTCCAAGAGTGCCAAGGCACAACCTAAGAAAATGCCAGCCATTGATTAAACATTTCTGTAAAGAGGTTGGGATAGAATACCACTTATACGGATTTATTAAGGGCAATGAAATGGTGTTGGGAGTACTCAGAGATGTTTCAAATCAACTCAACCTATTGGGCAAAGTGGCTAAATCTCATGCTGACAGGCACCTAATGGAAATGTCGGGTATTTCTAAAAAAGAAATTTAGAAATTGGGAAACCTGGGTGACATCAAAACAATTGTTACAGATACGTTGAAATCTAATACATTTCATATGTTCTATTTTGGTTTTCGACATTATGCATACGGCAAAATCTGCATTTTTATTAAAAAGGTTCATGATCCTCGCGTGATGCCCTACTCGTCGATCTTGCCTTTTTCGAACACCGTCAAAGCTTTTTTTTAACGTTATCTTTAGATTATTGTTTAACGCCATACTGTTAAACTGCATTGAAAAAAAAATTCTGTGTAATTAGAAAGTATTTATTATGTAATCTAATTCGTTTAACACTTTAATACACATCGAATATATTAAAAATTTAAAATTATATATGTACATACTGTAACTTTATAGATTAACATATTAAAAAAGTTTTTTTAAAAAAAACTCTTTCCGCTGATCATCTGCCCACACACAAAAAAGATGTTTGCAAGAAATTTTTTATTTCTTTGCTAATAAAGTCTTAACACTATCCTTAAA